GTTGCAGTTTGCACTTCCTGCTGAGATACCCTCCTTCCTATTTTCCAGTGGATGACAGTTAGTGGATCTGGTGTTGGTTGGAGCTGGACCAGCCACATTGGTCCTCACATGTCCTTCCTCCTACCATGGACTAGACAATAAATTCACAATGCTGCCAGGTTTTGAACTGGAGATGCACCCCATATAACTATCCTTCTTCCAACCATCTGTTGAATGTTGGTGGATCTGGTGTTGGTTGTAGCTGGATGAAACACATGAATTCCTGCAGGTGTAAGGTTGGATACCCTCCTACTACAGTAGACTGGATGAAAAATTCCCAATGCTGCCAGGTTTTGGACTGGAGATGAACACCCACCTGGGCCCTCCACCTTCCTACCATCTGCTGGATGTCAGTTTCTGGTGGATCTGATGTTGGACACCTGCAGATGTGGGTTCTTGGTACAGAAGCCCCTCTTCCCTGCCACTACCTGTTCTTGAGGTGAAAGGTAGAGGGCTCTCTTCCTACTGCGGAACTGAGGTACAATTCCAGAGGCCACCAGGTTTTGGTTGAGGTCAAACTCCCATTTACGATCTTTTGCACCCTACCCACTCTACAATGAGGGATCCCATTCTTTCTATAATTTTGTTTTGGATCCCTCCATTAGGATGATGCATTACTAATTGCAGAAGAGTATACCTGGCTCAGAAATAGTGTGGTCTCCCACGGATATTTTGTTTTTAGTTCCTTCTCACACCCCATAATTTTCCTTTGGGCACTTACTAAAGAGGATCACCTTCTCATTGGCCCTCCACTAGTTAAGTCTGAGATTCTAGCTTTTTGTGAGTGGAGGTAAGATATTGTATCAAACATTAACATTTTCCTCAACTGAAAATGTATTTCTGATAGATATTAACCTCCTCTCACATTTCCCACCCATCCTCCCCACTTTCGGTGTGGTTTATGTAATCTGACCAATCTCAAAATCGTTAACAGCTGGAAGATTAGAGAGGGCGCTAGTTATTATAGGAGTAGTGTCACACTCCTATTGATGGAGGGTTGCTGCATAATCATTTGCATGTCAGTATGTAGATATCTCATCGTTAGCATATGTGAGAGTAAGTGTGAGTATCAAGGCTATTGGTGAGTGAACATTTGCACCGATAGAGGGCAGTATAAGTCAGGAAAGTTTTTTCAGAGAGGAGGTATCTATCGGAATTACATTTTCAGTTTAGGAAAATGTTAACTTTTATTTGATTTCATGTGTTTATGATAGGACAAAATGCAGCAAATGTTAGACCAGCTCTTGTCTCACTTGTGTATCTCTTCTGATGATTCCTTTGATGATGTGGATTTTGGATTTGGTGGTTCTTCCTGTTCTAAGAATAACTTGAAATGGTGTATTCCTCTGGAAAGAAAGGAGAAGTTTAATGGTGATGAAAGACCGTTTTTTCAGCTAGAAGAACATTCCCAGCTTAATGTTGAAGAGTCTTCCTGCCAAAGTGGGAGGTCAAAAGAAAATTCATATGTAGAAGTTAGTGACCAAGACAATTCAGATCACAGTCTTAGTAGTCAAACTAGTAATTTGGGAAATAAATTAACAGAAGAAAACAAAGATGATGATGATACAGTGGCTAGTTCTCCATGTTCATCAGGTTCGAAACATGTTCTGTCAAGGACAAGCACTGTAAATGACAAATATAGCTCTTCTGTTTGCAGTGATAACTATACCAGTCAACTGTCTTAGCTTTAATAATGGATAGTAAGGTTTAAATTATCAGAAGAAGACAAACAAGTTTGGGTAGAGGTTAATAACTAGGTAGGTGCTAAGGCTTGAATTGTTGGTTATATATACGAGTAAAAGATGAACAAGTTTGAGTTGATAACTAGATAGATTCTAAGACTTAAATTCTTGGTTATCTGTGAGTACAAGATAAACAAGTTTGGGTTGAATGTAGTAAGTAGACAGATGATAAGGTATGAATTCTTGGTTATCTTCGTAAATACAAGATGAACAAGTTTATATTAAGTGTAATAACTATGTAGATACTAAGATTTGATTTGTTGGTTATCTGTGTGAGTACAAGATTAACGAGTTCAGGTTGAGGGTACTAACTAGATAGATGCTAAAGTGTAAATTATGGGTTATCTGTGTGAGTAAAATCTGAAGAAATTTAGGTTGAGGCTAATATCTATAAACATACTAAGGCTTGAATTGTTCGTTATGTATTTGAATACAAGATGAACAAGGTTGAATTGAAGGTAATAACTTGATAGATGCTAAGACTTGAATTATGAGTTATCTATGTGAATACAAGATGAACAAATTTGAGTTGAGGATAAATAACAAGGTAGGTGATAAGGCTTGAAGTGGTGTTTATCTGTGTGAGTACAAGATGAAAAATTTTTATTTGAGGGTAAAAGATAGAATTTCTGCACCTAATAGTAGCTCAATTAGTCAAACTGCCAACTGTGATTGAAATTGATTTTGTATGTGTTTTTACTTAATGGAAACCAGTTTCACTTGGTCAAACCTAATCCTAATAGTTTTTATGTATTTCAACCAAAGATAAATTGCAGTCAAGATATTATTACACTTTTATAAAATTTTGGCTTTTAAAATAGTAAGTTCAGTCCAATGAATCAGTATTGAAAGTTTTAGTTTTGACCTATTGTTTTCGAGACACCTTGACAACAGTCAGTAACTCTTTTCTAACTAAATCAGTTCTCATGCCCGTGTTGGTATGAGTGTGAAATGTAGTAATATTTTATTTTACTAGTAGTTGTAAATTAAATGTCATACAAATTAATTAATTAAAAAAGAAGGATAAATTGCTCATGTTTCTAGAACCTTAGATAAACATTATATAATAGTGTGTAAAGGTTGCCAGTTCCTTGTGTTTGCAGGAAATTAAAAGTACTGGTTTCTTAAAGCTTATATATATATATTTCATATTTTCATAAAGTTTGTGAAAGTTGAACCACTATAGAGTTTCATCTAAATTATTTGGGTTTTGGTGATGTATATATGGGGTGGCTCAAAAGTAGGTATACAGTTACTAATGGATAATATGTTTAAAGTAATTAAATTTAAATTAAAGTATACAGTTGATAATTTATTTAATGGCACTCTACACCTCACATAGAATTATGGGAAAGTTAATCCCGCAGGTGTTCAAATTAAAACCCCATGCTGTTCACACAATTCTAGAGTCTGCCTGCCACACTTCTGTAAATTAGTCTGTGGTGTATCCTTTCATTTCGTCAACATTCAATGATTTCCTACCATACACTTTGTCCTTGAGTACTCCCCAGAAGGAAAAGTCCATATACAACTGTATACCTACTTTTGGACCACTCTGTAAAATTGAGCAGTAGTTTATTTGGAAATCTTTTCCTCTATAATAATATGCAAAAATTGAAGCCAGTGCACTAATTTTAATCCTCTTTAGGCAAGTAATGTTATGAATATTTTGACACTGTGGATAATATTTCAGCTTAAAAAAAAAAAAAAAAA